AACAGGACAGGCCCCAAAACCCATCCCTGTGGAACACCACTGGTGACCGGACGGCACCTGGACTTCACTCCGTTCACCACGACTCTCTGGGCTCGGCCATCCAGCCAGTTTTTTATCCAGCAAAGGGTGTTCCTGTCTAAGCCACAAGCCACCAGCTTTTCTAGGAGCATGCTGTGGGACACACTGTCGAAGGCCTTGCTGAGTCCAAGTATGACATCCACAGCCTTTCCCTCATCCACTAGGCGGGTCACCTGGTCATAGCAGGAGATCAGGTTGGTCAAGTGTGACCTTCCTTTCATGAAGCCATGCTGGCTGGGCTTGATCCCCTGGGTGTCCTGTACATGCCGTGTGAGCACACTCAAGATGAGCTGTGCCATAATCTTCCCGGGTACCGAGGTCAGGCCTCTAGTTCCCCGGGTCCTCCTTACGGTCCTTCTTGTAGATGGGTGTCACATTGGCAAGCCTCCAGTCTTCTGGGACCTCCTCTGTTAACCAGGACTGTTGATAAATGATAGAGAGTGGCTTGGCAGATGGTGGATTTGGCAGGTGATGACATCTATCAACTTTCCCAGACCTTTCTGCCCTCAGGAGGAGACCACACCTTCTTTCAAGGCTGACTAGTGTCACCTCTGTCTCATCTGGTATCTTACAGAGGCTGACGAGCTTTGAAAGGACATCTGATGTCTCAGAAGGGATCTGAGCATCCCTACATACTAACCTGGGCTCAATGCCTTTTGAAGGTTTCTCTTTGTTTTCTCGTTTTCATTTCACTGTCAATTCAGCAGGTTCACAGGCGGGGCTGGTGGCCGGGGAGTGTTGGTTTTCTTGCTCAGGGCAGCGTCAGAGCTATTTCGAAACCTAATGTGTCTAATATTGCTAAAAAGGGTAATGTTTGTTGTTCCTTTGTGCTTTCTTATTCCTTTTTCTTCTTTTAACAAATTCCTCTTTTCTCACTTCCCTGTGTGTGTCCATGTTGCAAGGCCACTCCTCCGTTGCATTTTTTTCCAGGGCTTTGCTGGGGGGAAGGCGTTATGATAAATGACCAAATTAATGGACATGGTCTCGTTGACACCACGGGAAGAACACTGACAAATCGCTCCCCGAGAGCAATTTAGCCAACTTTATGGATGGCATACATTTCTGCAATCAGGACATGAGCTTTGGGGCAAAAAAAGAGTAGTGTGAACAGCTAGAACAAGCACTGGAAGAACATGCCTGTGAAGAACAGGGTCTCTATCATGCCCTGAAACACTGGTGTAACCGAGGATAGCAATTGCTTGTGGGGTTTGGACGATGTTCGGGTCTGACTCCAGCGCCCTGTTCTTCTTCCTCACCCTGCGCGTTGTGCAAGAGCCAGTCCGACGGTTGCCGCCCTGGCAGGCTGGACCTCACCGGGCAGCGCAAGCCAGCCTCTCCACTTCCCTTGGAGACGGGACCACAGCTCTCCTAGGATGTCACTTATTCC